ATTCCTGCTAGCTTCTCGTCCAAATACTTCACCTTTTTGCGTTTCTTATCAAGTTTTATCCTCATAACTTTTATCTTATCCTTCATAACCATTAACTTTGCTTCAACAACCTCAAAACCTTTCCTTTTACTTTTTTCTTTTGTAATCCCTATCGAATGGTTTTCTAACTCCATATATTTCTTGTTCAAATCCTCATACTTCCCTATCCTATCCATCAGTTTTAACTAAACTTGTGCAAATTTTTCTTGGTAATATTTTACGCTTCCTTGGCAATCATTAAAATCAATATCCATTGCTTCAAGTTTTGAGCAACTTTGCATCCAATCCAAACTTATCCCTCCTAACTCCTTCTCACTTTCTTCACTAGCAATCTTCTCCTCACCCAGCTTTAACTCAAACTTTGTTATTCTCGCATCTCTAGATTATATTTGCTCATCTAGAAATGTTTTCCTTTTATCTCTTTCCATGATTATTTCTTCCAACATTGCCTTGTCTTTTTTGTTTTTGCTCAATTCTATTTAAAGTTTTTCCACTTGTCTTCTCAACTCCTCTTTATTATTGACCCTTTTCCTCCTAATAGGCTCTTCTACAGTTTAGGGAGATTTGACTCCTACACAAGGCATGACTGAAGGAGCTAAGTCTCTCCATCTTGCATATCCTTCACTTGCACATGGATTCTTTAAACCTTCTATCTCAACCAAAACCATATGCTTTCAATCTTGCTTGATGATCCCTAAAACTTCTTGTACTTCGGGATCTTTGAATAAACCAAAGAATTGAGCAATTCCCAAAGTCCTTGAAACAAACTACATGCCCCTAAGTTACCTTACCACAAGGGTAGGAGCATAACCCATATAACCTATAATCCCTACCAATGACACGGAACGTCTTTGTCCATAACTCATCAGGAATTTCATTGTCGTTACCCATAGGGCTCTCCACTTGAAATCACTATTAGGTAAACCTTCTAATTTCTCAACCCAACCTTGGTTGTTTAGATCTTCCCATTCTTCTTTTTTTACTAACTTCAAGGATCTTTGTGTGAAGCACTAAAAATTATTAAAGACAAGCTTTTTTTGTTTTGATATGGCTAACCATCCAGATATACAACAATTACGTGCAACATCTCATGCTCCTTTTTCTGGTCCTCCTATAATGGTTAAGTGTCAATATGGTTTCAGCTAAAATAGCAGCCACTGGATTTATTTGTGTATTCTCATACTCTAGATAAAGCAGTAGCGATCTCCAAACTCACTACACCTATCTAGCTTGGGAACAACACAAAGCTAAATATGCCCAAGGCAATCAATCTCTCTTTTTCTGATCTTGACTTTTTTTCCAGTTCAATTTCTAGCATCCTCCATTTTAGATCGATAGCAAAAATTATCTCTGCTTCTTTTCACTTCTCTATTTGTTTTTGTGTAAATTTTGTTATCTTCACATGGTATCAAAGCTTATGGATTCTTGATCTTGTGATCTTTTGCTTTTGCACTCTTTGGTTTTTGTTTTTGATTTTGGCTTCATTCTCTTCTTATTCATGAAATTCTTTCATATGTGTTGATTTGTCTATTATCTATTTGATATATTGTCTAACTGAAAACTCTTTTTTAACTCTTCATATTTCTGCAAGATTCTTCCTTCTCAATCTTTGATTCTCCTCTTTTACTTCTTACATTCTCAAAATGGTGACTACTTCTCAGCTTTATATTGTTCAATCTTTTATTACTTCTTTGCTTCCTATGATTTCTACTGATGTAACAGTCAAGCTTAATTATACAAATTACCTCATATGACATTTTCAGATGAAAATTCTTCTTGAAAGTTATGGTATTTTAGGATTTGTTGATGGCTAAAGGAAATGTCCAAGTCAATTTGATGCAGATTCTGATCTTGAGGGTGTTGAAACTAATGATCATTAGGTTTGGAAAATGCATGATCAAGCATTAATGCAGTTGCTTATTGCCACTCTCTCTTCTACTGCAATTTCCTATGTCATTGGATACGTCAATTCTCATGATATGTAGGTTCAACTGAAGAATCGATTTTCTATATTTACCAAAGCACGAATCTTTTAGATGAAAAGTGAGCTTCAAACTATCAAAAAGAGTTCAAAACCTATGTCTTAATATCTACAATGGATCAGAGATGCTCAAGACCATCTCTTTGCAGCAGGGGTTTACTTTGAAGATGATGATATTATGATCTTGGCTCTCAATGGTCTTCCTTCTAATTATAAGACATTTAGGTGTATAGTTCGAGGTGGAGACAATGTGTTATCTCTTAAAGATTTTCAGTCGCAACTACTTGCTGAAGAAGCCACTCCTAAGCAAACTCATTCTACATCATCATTTGTCTCTGCAATGATGGCTCAAAATCAGATATCTCAAGGCAAGGCTTTTGTTCTTGATGAAGGTAATTCTAATTCCTATCCTCAAGGGCATCCCTTTAGCTCCAAGTCTGCTCCATCTTCTTAATTTTCCTTTAGCTTCAATGGGGGTTTTAATGGCTATTATGGTAGTTTTCATGGTTCCACTAGTGGTTCAATGGTCTCAATACGATGTTCACCAACAGTGGTTATTTTGGAAATCAAGGCTCTCAGTTTAAGGGTCGTGGCCAAAGTCATAGTCTTACCAATCTGATCCACAACCTTATCAAGTTCAACCCACTTATAGTCCTAGCAATCTTGGTCCTGGCAGTGACATTCCTACTTGTCAAATATATAGTAAATTCCTACTTGTCAAATATATAGTAAAAAAGGACATGTAGCTGCTAATTGTTATCAATGCCATAATCAATCTTTTACTCCTACCTCTTCAATCCAATGTTAGATTTGTTGGAAATTTGGGCATTCTACTATTTAATGTTATCATAAAGGCAACTTCTTTTATAAAAGCAAACCTCCTTCCACCAATCTTAGTGCCATACATGTTAACTTTCCTTTTTCTCCACCTCATGAACAATTTTGGGTAGTTGATACTGGAGCACAACTCATATAACCTCTGATTTGACTTAACTTAGCTTGGTTACTCCTTACTCAGGATCTGATACTATTACCACTATATGAGGTTTAGGTTTGAGCATCTCTAGCATTGGCTCTTCTATTTTAGATGTTCCACAGTGCTTATTACAATTAAAACAAGTTTTGCATGTGCCTAAGCTATCTCAAAATTTCCTATCAGTTCATATGTTGTCTAAAGATAACAATTACAAATTTATTTGTGATGCATTTGGTTTTTAGATTCAGGACAAGATCACGAGGAATGTACTTCTCAAGGGACTATATAGAGCTAGTTTATATCCTATTCCTTTCTCTATTTCTTCTATTCCACAACCTCATTTTCAACAAGCATCTGCTTTCCACAATAATCAATTTTGTTATCTTGCTCAACAGGTCAAAATAAGTCTCCGACACAAAAGTTTCGATCATCCCTCTAACAAAATCACTATTCTTTTAAATCAATCCCATATTCCTTTTACTTCAGACCCTTCCAAATTAGTTTGTAACACTTATTTAGGGGGCAAACTTGCCTATCTTCCTTTTCCTTATCCAGCAGTTAAATCTGTCAAACATTTAGATGTAATACATATTGATGATTAGGGTCCTTCTCCCATTATATCTGCTAAGGTATTCAGATATTATGTTAGTTTTATTGATGAATGAACTCAGTTTACTTGGATTTTTTCAATGATTAATAAAAGAGAGGTTTATTCTATTTTTGTCTATTTCCATACCTTTTTAGTTACTCAATTTTCTGCTACACTTCGGGTCTTTCAAAATGATGAGGGCGGTGAGTATCTTAGTAATAAATTCAAACATTATCTTCGTACCAAGGGAATTATCCATCAAATGTCTTGTTCATATACTCCTGAATAATATGGTCTTGTTAAGAGAAAATATAGGCATATTTTAGAGACAACAATCACTTTGTTACAAACTGCCAATTTACCTCCTAAATTTTGGTTTTATACTTGTGCTACTTCCATCTATTTGATTAATCAGATTCCTTATCAAATTCTTCAATTTAAATCTCTTTATTTTCTTGTTGTATGGTTCTACACTTGTCATCAATCATTTGAGAATCTTTAGTTGTGCTTGTTTTCCTTTACTCAAGCCTTATAACACTCTCAAACTTCAGCCAAAAACTTCCACTTGTATTTTTTAGGGTATATAGGTTAGTATAAGGGGTATATTTGTTTTTCTCTTCAAACCAATCGGTTCTTTATGACTCGACATATCATCTTTGATGAATCTGTGTTTCCTTACACCTTTATGCCTGTAGTCTCTGCTTCTCCATCTCTTTCTACACCATCTATTTCTCTAAATAATATTGTTTTGCCTATTTTTTCTTCTTTTTTGTTCCCTTCTCGAGCCCCTACATCTTTGCATACACTGCCTCTTCGTGCCAACCCTCAACCTCTACCAATTTTAAACTCCACTACACAGTCTCCTCTCCCTGTGGATCTTGATTTCTAACTTGAGAATCTTTGTGTAGTTTTGCCTCTTTCACCTATGAATCTTTATCCCATGACCACTAAGTCTAAGAATGGTATTTCCAAAAGGAAGGCCTACTTTGCCTGTATATAGCCTATTGATCTCTCTCAAGTTGAACCTTGTTCCTTCAAGGTTGTTTCTACTGTTGTTGAATGACAATCTACTATACGAGAGGAAATTGAGGCTATTCATACATAAAGCACTTAAGACTTGGTTTCTCTACCACCTGCTAAGAATCTTGTAGGTTGTAAGTAGGTCTATAGAATTAAGAAGAATGTAGATGGATCTATAGCCAGACATAAGGCTCAATTGGTGGCTAAGGGCTTTAGTTAAAAGGAAGGCATTGACTATAATGAAACCTTTAGTCCTGTGGTTAAACCTACCATTGTTCACTTAGTCCTTGCCCTTGCAGCTCGGTTTAATTAGTCTATAAGATAATTTAATGTTAAAAATGCATTTTTGCATGGTATTCTTCACAAAAAGGTTTCTATGACTTAACCTCAAGGTTTTGTGAGCAAACTTCATCCTTCTAACTTTGTTTGCAGACTATGGAAGCCTTTGTATGGTCTAAAACAGGCTCCTCGTGCCTAAAATGAGAGATTTACTAGTATTTTTTTTTATCAAGTTTAGGGTTCCAACCATCTCTTTCTGATCCTTCTGTATTTGTTCAGCACTCTTCTTATGGCACTATGGTCTTGCTACTCTATATAGATGATATCATTCTAACAAGTAGTCATTCTTTTTTTCTTACATCAATTATTAAAGCCTTGACTTCCCTTGACTCGAGAAATTGATATGAAGGATTTAGGCTAGTTAAATCATTTTTTTAGGGCTGCAAATTTCTTCTCTTCTGGTTTGTTTGTGTTTCAAACCAGTTTTATCAAGGAATTACTTGACAGAGTTGATTTACATTCAAAACCATGTGCTGCTCCTTATCTTCCTCATCATCACCTGCTCAAGGATGCTGGCAAGCAAGCCTTACTCTCATCCAAAGCAATACAGGAGTATTGTTGGAGCATTGCAATATCTCACCTTCACAATGCCTTATTTTGAGGGTCCAGTTCCAATTAAGTGATTTCTGCAACCTTGTGTACCTTGAATATTTGACATGTCTGAGGACAACTTGTCTGGTTCTACACCATCTTGCTTCAACCCGCCAAATATCAAATATGTCCATTTATTCAAAAAACAATTGAGTGGTCCATTAACATACGAATTTATAACAGCTCTTCGTTGGTGACATTGGATCTCACATACAACAACTTCATGGGCCCAATTTCAAACTAGTTTGGCAATCTTTCGGCACTGAGTGTTCTTCTTCTGAAAGCTAATCATTTTGCTGGTCAGATTCCTACTCAGTTATGCTTGCTTGCTAGAACAATTTAGCTTTTTTGATGTTCCACAGAATAAGATCACAGGTGGTCTACCCTCCTGTCTAGGGAATCATGCTTGTTAAGGAAAGTTGGGAGAAAGCAGTAGCTACTCGACAATATTCCATTACATACGAGTCCTTGAGAGAGATGTATTCTGAAATAATGGATTCAGGGAGTATCGATTACGATGGAATAAATTATCGATTCACCCTAATAGAAGAAGTAATAGAATTTACGTCTAAAAAAATGTCATTGGTTACAAGGGCAATATTCTGAACTTCATGTCTGGATCTCTCCAGCAATAGATTCTCAGGTGAAATCTCATTAGATGGGAAATTTAAGTGAGGTACATGCATTAAACTTGTCACATAACAATCTCACTGGATTTATCCCTGCAACATTCTCAAATATAAAGCAGATAAAGAGCTTGGATCTTTCTTACAAGAACTTGAATGGTGCCATCCCCCACAACTTACTGTACTCAACACACTAGCAGTTTTCAGTGTGGCATATAATAATTTATCAGAAAAAACTCCGGAGATGAAAGCTCAATTTAGGACCTTTAATGAAAGCAGTTATGAAGGTAATCCTCTTTTGTATGGAGCTCCGTTACAGAACTATTGCAGTGAAGAAGAATCACCATCACAACCAATGCCTAATGATGAACAAGAAGATGATGGTTTCATAGACATGGATGTTTTCTATGTGAGCTTTGGCGTATGTTACATAATTCTTGTGTTAGCCATTGCTGAAGCTCTCTACATCAATCCACTTTGGCGGCGCAGGTGGTTTCACTTCGATGAAGAGTGCATGGACACTTGCTAGTTGCTACTGTTTTCTAAAGATTAGTTTTCATGAGTTCTCCAACTTCAGAAGATCATAAGGTCTTATCATGGGTGTATTGGATTTGTCGTTGGTGGGGGGGTTGTGTGGGGGTGTGGGGTGGGGTGGGCATCAACCCAAATTGTGTTTGCTCAGAACTTGTCCAGCAATCTTCTTGTGTGTGTTCAGCTATTGGGTGCTTTTTAGAGTTTTGGCCTCATAGCTTAGCCTTTCTGTTGATTTATCTGTGGGCTCCTAACTCCTAAGTTTGCCTTGTTTTTGATATTTTCTTTTTCTTTTTCTCACTAGCTATCATGTTGGAAAATTCTGATCAAGAAATTAACAATGATCCAGTCCGTCGTCAAGTTCAATTTCTCATCAATCTCGTCCTAAGAACTGGAATTTATCTTCCCATAAATCTTCCAAGGTCATCGAGTTATGCTATGCGAACAAGAAGGCGTTTCCATTCTGTGATCCAATTTGCTATGATCCTAATGGCATTGTAAAGGCTTTGAGAATTCACATTCTCCTAATGGAATAGGGCCTTCTCCTAAAACACAGGTCTAGCAGGGACCAATCAAGATGATAAAACAGAAATGCCAAAGGAATGAAAACGAGCAACAAGTCTTAATTACCAAAAGTGGCCAAGCCCATTATGAAGGGCAGTGAATGGCCCATGCATGTCTGTGAAGTGTTCCTTATGAACAACGAATTAGAAATACTAATACCATCCATAAACAAATAATTAAAGTAATAACTGTCAGTGTCTAAGTAAGTTTTATGTGGAATGTCTAGACTATGAGTTTATGGGCTTTATTAATAAACTAAAGTTTAAAAAGATAGTTTATAAGGGCAGATATTCAGTATTTCTTTAACGAGGCATTGCTTTTGAGCAGGGTGCTAAATTAACGCGTAAATTATACCAACATAAAAAGATGATTTAGAGACCCATAAAATAACTGCGAGGGAAAAGTGTATCAAAATCCTCTAGGAAGATCTCTTTTCGAGCTCTTTTGTGATCATGATCTTCAAGATAGCCTCGGATTGCTTTTGTTTGGAAAATTTATCTTTCTTATTTGTTTCAGTATTAATTTTGAATTCTATATTATTTTAGTTTGTTTAGCCCACGCATGCTATATAAACCATTTTTGTGGGATTTTTTAGACAATTATTACCTTTGAATAAAATACCGTGCTTGAGTCTTTCCGCAATTTTTTTGATCTTGTTATTTTTAATATTTCCGCAATTAATGGAGTGATGCAAACAATGTGAGATGGTCCATGATATTCTTTTGTAATGAATGTCTTTACAAGCTTTCATTTGTGGATTATTTTGAAAAGCTTCACTATTCAAAAGGTTGAATAATGGATGGATTGATTATCTTGGAAACTTGGCTTCGTATGTCCAGGAAGAAAAGGCAGAGGACGAAATAACACCCCCATTTCACAAGAGCCTTAAATGTCAAAGAAATATTAAGTGGAAGTCATTTTCTAGGCCAGAAGGAAGTCATTTTCTAGGCCCTCACCAGCCCTGTACAAATTGTCCTCAACACAAATCTCTTCTGTGCAAGAAATTCCAGGAAGGTGCGGTCGCACCAATTAACTTGACTCCAATGTCAAGATGCATCCAAGTCTAGAATGAGAAAGCAGAGTAGCAAACAGCCAAGTAGAGGAACGCCCTGGTTCTCACTCTAACTTTAACATTAACTATTGGCAAGCATTCTCTAGGCTCATTAACCTAAGTACTGACACTAAGTTTAAATTTTGTCTAACAATTCCAGGTTTTTAATGCAGCGCGTGAAGAAAATTCTGCCAAGAAATTAAAATGTGTTGTCAATATTCAACTTAATTGAATAAATAATGAAAATTCAGCAAAGAAAAATCTGTATTCTCAGTATCCTCGAACGAATTTGTAAGCCAATTGTGATTTAGTTTCCTTTTCAAGCTTATCAATTCTCTTAAGTTCCATCCAGAGGCTAGTGTATATCGTACTATTTAAAACAAATAGAACAACCTGAAATAAATTTTATCTCTCATTAAATCTCAGTTTATTCTGGATTTCTCGGTTAAATTTCAGCTGATATGTTATAGTTTCATTTCGCATCAGTTTATTCTGGATTTCTTGATTATATTAAGGCTTTATTTCGCATGTTTTGTTCCGTATGTTTCAAATAATGAAAATTGTTTCGTCATACACCTCTAAACACGGCAAATAATATTTTATAAAAAAATAATAGATGAACACGAGTTTTAAATATTTACTACCAAAAAAATCCAAATCATTAATAGTCCAAGTTTACTCTGAGTCAAAGTCTTCTCCAATAATACACCCAACTTTCTTCCACTCACAGTTTAGCATAGAAAATTCAAGTGAATGCATGGAGAGAGCCGAAGTGTAATATAAATAGGACCTCTTTTATTGGCCAAGTGCACATAAAAAGCAACAATATTCAAAGAATTATCTAAGATGATGATGAAAAAAAAGTGGGTTTGGCTGTTGCTAACATTATTGACTTCGGTTGGCGAATGGTATGGTCGTTGTTGTGGGTGCTTGGAGGAAGAGAGAACTGGTCTCTTGGAGATCAAAGCTTTGATCGATCCAAACAGCGTTCAAGGGGAATTGAGCGACTGGATGGACAACAAAGAGGCTATTGGTAATTGCTGTGAGTGGTCTGGGATCGTATGTGATAACACTACAAGGCGAGTGATCCAACTCTCTCTTATGCGGGCAAGGGATTTCCACTTAGGCGATTGGGTTCTCAACGCATCTCTGTTTCTGCCTTTTAAAGAATTGCAGAGTCTTGATTTGGGAGAGACTGGATTAGTTGGTTGCTCTGAGAATGAAGGTTGGTTCAATGTCTATCTTCTTATAATCATATAACAAATGTATATTAATGAAGTTTTTAATGTCAATTATTTTCCTTTGAGATTTCTGTTGCAGGCTTCGGAACCCTATCATCAAAACTGAGGAAACTGCATGTCCTTGACCTAAGTTATAATAAATTTTATAGTGACAGCATTTTATCATGTTTCACTGGGCTTTCATCTCTCAAGTCTTTAGATTTGTCATGGAATACGTTGACAGGATCGGCTAACTTTTATGGTAATAGTTTTAACTAATCATCTTTGAACCTTTTTCTTTTTTAATCACGTATTATTTTTCCTGTGCGTCTATTTCCTTCCAACAGGCTTTCAAAATCATCTTGCAGGTCTCAACGTCTTGTCATCAAGGTTGAAGAAACTGGAGAACCTTCACCTGAGAGGGAATCAATACAACGATAGCATTTTTTCATCTCTAATAGGATTTTCATCTCTAAAGTCTTTAGATTTGTCATACAACATGTTGACAGGATCTACAAGCATCAACGGTAAATCTTAGATAATTTCTACCTAACCCCTTCACATGACATTCTTTTATAGGGTTTCTTTATCATGAAAAATGACTTTATATCCATTTAATAATCCATGTAAAGTTAGCTGATCAAAATTAAGAAAATTAAAAATTACAAGTGGAATGGTAATTAAGACATGAAGAGATTAAAGTCAACTCTGTATCACTACCATTTTCATCGTATCTTTTGTTGTTTCTTCTTCACAGGGACTTTCTTCAATTCGACCACCCTTGAAGAATTGTATCTAGATGGTAGTTCTCTCCCATTAAACTTTCTCCATGATATTGGAGTATTGCCAGCTCTTAAAGATTTGTCTGCCGGTGAATGTGACCTCAATGGCACCCTACCTGCTCAAGGTAAATTAGCAACTCTTCATCTTCCTATAATTACATGATCAATGAAAGATGCTTTCAACACTATTTTAACTATTTCGAGATAAATTGTACAGGTTTGTGTGGATTGAAGAATCTAGAGCAGTTATTTCTCTATGAAAATAATCTAGAGGGTTCACTCCCAGATTGTTTCAAAAACTTGTCATCTTTACAACTATTAGATGTTTCGAGAAATCAATTTACTGGAAATATTGCTTCTAGTCCTCTTACAAACCTCATATCCCTTGAATTCATCTCACTATCAAATAACCACTTTAAAGTTCCTATTTCAATGAAGCCTTTTATGAACCACTCAAGCCTCAAGTTCTTCTCTAGTGACAACAACAGGCTAGTAACAGAACCCATGTCCTTTCATAATTTGATTCCAAAGTTCCAACTAGTCTTTTTCAGCTTGTCAAATAGTTCATCGGAAGCACTTAATGTAGAAACTCCCAGCTTCCTCTATAACCAACATGACTTAAGAGTCCTTGATCTCTCTCAAAACAGCTTCATTGGAATGTTCCCATCTTGGTTGCTTAAGAACAATACAAGATTGGAGCAACTATTTCTGAATGAGAACTCCTTTGTTGGTGCCTTGCAATTGCAAGGTCACCCAAATTCAGATATGACCGCAATAGATATATCTAACAACAACATGCACGGAGAAATTCCAAAAAATATTTGTTTGATCTTTTCAAATCTGTGGACCTTAAGGATGGCTAAGAATGGACTCACAGGTTCTATTCCTTCTTGTTTAGGAAATAGTAGCTCTCTGGGAGTTTTAGATTTATCCAACAATCAACTGTCTGGGGTAGAACTAGAACAGTTTATAACATTAACGTTTCTCAAGCTTTCAAACAACATTTTGGGTGGGCAATTACCTGCCTCAGTGGTCAATTCTTCTAGACTGAATTATCTGTACCTAAGTGATAACAATTTTTGGGGTCAGATATCAGATTTTCCATCACCCATAAGGACAATCTGGCCTGTATTGGATTTGAGTAACAATCAATTTTCAGGCATGCTTCCAAGGTGGTTTGTCAATTTGACACAAATCTTCGCAATTGATTTGTCCGAAAACCATTTTCATGGTCCAATTCCAGTAGAATTTTGTAAGCTTGACGAGCTTAAATACTTGGACCTTTCTGAGAACAACTTGTTTGATTCTATACCATCTTGTTTCAATCCACCACATATAACCCATGTGCATCTATCAAAAAATAGATTGAGTGGTCCATTAACATATGGATTTTATAATAGCTCTTCCCTTGTTACATTGGATCTCCGAGATAACAACTTCACCGGCTCCATCTCAAATAGGATTGGCAATCTTTCATCATTGAGTGTTCTTCTTCTGAGAGCTAATGATTTTGACGGTGAGCTTCCTGTTCAGTTATGCTTGTTAGAACAATTAAGCATTTTAGATGTTTCACATAATCAGCTCTATGGTCCCCTACCATCTTGTTTGGGCAATCTTACTTTCAAGGAAAGTTCTGAGAAAGCATCAACGGATTTCGGATTTCATTTTGGATCAACACCGATAGAAAAAGCTTATTATGAATTCAGCCAAATCAGAGCTCTCTTAGGAAGCAGTTATATACCCATTACTACAGAAGAAGTGATCGAATTTACAGCTAAAGGTATGTATTATGGTTACAAGGGAAAAATTCTCAGCTTCATTTCTGGTATTGATCTCTCCAGCAACAAATTCTCAGGAGCAATCCCACCAGAATTGGGAAACTTAAGTGAGCTATTAGCATTAAACCTGTCACACAACAATCTCACCGGATCTATCCCTGCAACATTCTCAAACTTAAAGCAGATAGAGAGTTTAGATCTTTCTTACAACAACTTGAACGGTGTCATCCCTCAAAAACTTTATGAAATGACCACACTAGAAGTTTTTAGTGTGGCACACAATAACTTGTCAGGTAAAACTCCAGAGAGAAAATATCAGTTTGGGACCTTCGATGAAAGCAGTTATGAAGGAAATCCTTTTTTGTGTGGACCTCCATTGCGAAACAATTGTAGTGAAGAAGAATCACCGTCGCTGCCAATGCCTAATGATGAACAAGAAGATGATGGTTTCATAGACATGAATATTTTCTACATCAGTTTGGGTGTAGGTTACATAGTTGTGGTGATGGGGATTGTAGCAATTCTCTACATCAATCCATATTGGCGACTTGGGTGGTTTAACTTCATCGACTACTGCATAGATACTTGCTTCTATTTTTTGCTGGCTAGTTCTTGCAAGTTCTCCAACTTCATAGGTAATTCGGTCTATTTTGCCTAGTGAATTTGTAATGATTGCTGCAGAGGAGTCAGTTTTTCCCTCAAAAATTGTTTGATAATCTGCTTGTGATAATTGTTGGTGCTGTATGTCTAGCTATTGGATGCTTTATAGTGTATTGTCTCTCAGCTCAGCCTTTCTGTTGATCTGAATTTTGGTTGAGTATATTTATTTGTGGGCTCCTAAGTTTGTGTTGATATACTTTTTGTATTTTGTTGTTTTGCTTTTTGAATTGGTACGTGGAATCTAGCTTTGTGGCATAGAATTGCTCTTTAACAGTCCGGTCAAAACTTTAATCATTTTCTAACGAGGGTTGTTTGGAAAAAGTTGGTGAGGAAACCACCAGTACTTTCCAGGAAACTAGTATTTGCTAGTGTTTAAAAATCAAAATGGCAAACCACAAGTCAAGCATAGACGACATTTTATGTTAAACTCAAAGTGGCAAGGAGTGCTAAATAAGGCTACCAAGAGGTGCATACACGACATTTTACGCTTTAACTCAGTGTGGCCAGTTGAGCTAAATATGGAACCAATAGATTGTTACAGAACAACAATGGAGAAAGTGGGATATCCTACTTTTGACTATTTTATACACCCAACGTTTAAGACAGAATAGAGCTCGATCCACAACAATAACCGATGAGAAAGTGGCTTGCAAGTAACTTAACTATTGACACCCAACGTTATAGATTGATTTGGAATAGTCGGTGATAGCTGGTTGTTTAGCTTGGTAGTTTAGCTTGGCAGCTCTGTTTTGTGTGGAGGCAAAGCTGCATTCTAAGGCTGTTGCTCTGTTCTTTGTGGTTTTCTTGACCTCTTTCTCTTCGTTTTGTTTCTTTTGCTAAATCCGTGTGTTTTTGCAGATTTGTAACTCCTCCTTCCCGCCATCTTTTGGCGTTTTAATACATTTCACTAGTTATCAAAAACAAAATATTGACTCCCAGTCAATAAGGTCTATGCAAATTGTTCAGCAAAGTCTTAAATTGAACAAAAACAATCATTTTCATATCTTTCACAAACAACTCAATTGATGCATTGTATAGCATGAAATATAATGTGATTTGTTAAACTAAAAACACTTAAAAAAACAAATACAGTAAAACCATAAAAAAATCACAAAGTCTGAAAATTTATTGATTGATAACTAGAGGTTACACGCCAACACAGCTATTAGAACTCTCTTGAAACCAGTTTACCGGAAACATTGCCTCCGGTCCTCTTACCAACATCGTATCCCTTGAATTACTCTTACTGTCAAATAGCCAACACGACTTAAGAGTCCTTGATCTCTCCCACAACAAGTTTAGTGGAATGTTCCCATCGTGGTGGCTTAAGAACAATACAAGGTTGTGGCAACTATTTCCAAGTGAGAAATCCTTTGTTGGTGCTTTTCAATTGCAAGATCACCCAAATATGAACATGACCATAATAGATATATCAAAGAACAATATGCACGGTCCAATCCCACAAAATATTTGTTCGATCTTTTCAAATATGGAGACCTTAAAGATGGTTAAGAATGGACTCACAGGTTGTATTACTTCTTGTTTAGGAAATGTTAGGGCTCTTCGAGTTTTAATTTTATTGCTTTTCGAGTTTTAATTTTATCCAACAATCAATTGTCTACAATAAAACTAGAACAGTTGACAGAGCTAATTTTTCTCCAGTTGTCAAGTAACAATTTGTGCGGGCAAATATCTTCCTCAGTGTTCAGTTATTCTACCCTAGATTGTGTTTGACAGTTGGAGAAACCATAATGCTATCAACTGTTACATTTTTACTGTAGACAATTGATTGTTGGATGAATCTGAATCTCCAGAAAGCTTATTTTTCTAAACAAGAAGGAATGAAACCTGTGAGTTCATTCTTATCCATCTTTGAAGTCCACATATTTCGAAAGATTAAACAAATATTTTTTGGAACTTGATCGCGCATGTTGTTCTTCCATATATCTGTTATGGTCATGTCTGGATTTGGGTGATCTTGCAATTGCAAAGAACCAACAAAGGAGTTCTCCAAAAAAAATAGTTACTCCAATCTTGTATTGTTTTTAAGCAACCATGATGGGAAAATTCCACTGAAGTTGTTGTGAGGGAGATCAAGGACTCTTTAGTTGTATTGATTATAGAAGACGTTGGGAATTTCATCATTGAGTGCTTCCGATGTTGGACTGTTTGTCAAGCTGGAAAAGACCAGCTGGAACTTTGTGGAATCAAATTATGAAAGGCAGTAGGTTATGTATCAGTCTGTTGTTCCCACTAGAAAAGAGCTTGAGTGGTTCATAAAAGGCTTCATTGAAATGGGAATTTCAAAGTTGTTGTTTGATAGTGAGAAGAATTCAAGGGATATGAGATTGGTAAGGGTACTAGAGTCCATATTTCCAGTAAACTGGTTTCTGAAACAATCTGGGAGTGAACCCTCTAGATTCCAGAGAGAACAATTGAATCATCTGCAATATCTGTAACTGCAGATTCATCCACAGCTGGAATTGTAACTGAAGATGCCATTGTAACTGAAGAGTTTGGGCCAACCTTGCAAGCTATCATCACTGATCATGGATAAGAAAAGACACTTCTTTTTTATTGAGGACTACTCGGGTAACATCCTGCATGAAGGTCAAACCAAAGATGTGTTATATTGTTTTTCGCAGCCTCTCCAACAACTTATTCTGTGTTCTTTTGTGTTTGAATTCCAATTTTTGATTGGCATCGTAGATTAGGACATATATACATCCTTTCACAAATGACTTGGCCATGGCACAACACCCCGCAGATGCTGCAAATACTATAGAGATTCATGCTCCCTCAAACTCAGCTCTTGTTACTAACCCACGTAGTTATACTTCCATTACCACAACAGCTTTTACTTCACAACGTGAATGGAAAAATTCCTCCACAATTTATTGAACATCACTTTCTAGCAGTTTTTAATGGGCGAGAGTCCATAGAGGAAAGCTCAATCTAGAACCTTTGATGAAAGCAGTTACAAAGCGAATCAGTAATAGGCCGTGAAGGAGGCAGGGAGTGTTAGAGAATAATATAAATTATATTTTAGAGCCTCACCTAAAAACTTAAGTTTTTAGGTGAGATGGTTCTTTGAGATGGTATCAGAGCCTTGATGACTAAACGGTCACGAGTTCGAATCTCACCATCCCCATTTATTTGATAAAAATTAAGCACAAAGTAATGTGAGTCTGTGCAAGTTTCAAGCTCAAAGGGCTTTTCATTTGAGGGGGTGTGTTAGAGAATAATATAAATCATATTCTAGAGCCTCACCTAAAAGCTTAAGCTTTTAGGTGAGATAGTTCTTTGACAGGGGGCTGGCAGGGGCCGGGGCCTACAAGGAAATTTTTCCTAGCCCCTCCTTGTATAAAATAATTGAAACTTCAATTATTTTAAAATAATTTTTTTAATTTAGTCCTTTTAATTTTTTTTTCTCACTCCACCCCTGGTAATAGGAATCTATAGGAATCTAGATTATCTTATGATCAATTGAATTTTATATACTTGGCATTATATCTATGCATGGATCTTAAAACTTTTATGGCATTAGAAGCTAAGTGAACAATTTTATTTTTTTTATTAATGTAACAATGGATGTGCGGATAAAAAAATATAATTAGAAAGAAAAAGAATTAATTTTAATAATGAATTAAACTTCATTTCAAAAACATCTTAAATTTTAAAAAGAAAATATTCATATTAAGAAGTCATGTAATATTAATGTAATCGAACTTGTAATAACTTCAGCACACGAGTATGCTTACTTGTGTTGTGTTGGCTGTACTGTCAATAATGAATGGTAAATTAGAAAGGAGTTGGATAGAGAGATCACGGTGAAATTTTATGTATGTTAGAGAATAATTAGTTGTATTTTATTAGTTATTTTTGGATTTATTAAAAAATAAATATAAAAAAGAAAACAATATTTATAATACTTATATCTATATCTTTCTTTAATATAGATATGCACATATAAAAAATATGATATCACTAAGAAATTATTATAGATATCAGATTAAAAAAAAAATCTAGAATAAAGGAATTAATTAATCAAAAGAAAAGTATACATCCAATCCAACAAAGTACAAAAAATCAATTAAAAAATACAGGGACCAAATAATCCAACAAGCTGCAAAGACAGCTGAGCTGAGCTTGGTCTGTATGTAAGAAGGGTGACCATAGACAAAAGCACAAACACAGAGAACTGTGGTATGTCATACAAAGATGAGGATGTTAATGAGTCTTTCACCATGTTATCGTCTTTTACATCACTACCATTATCCTACCTTAACTAAGACCCACCATCACCACCACCTCCTTTCTCTATCCAATCACCTACCTCCACCTGGCTAACCATCCTACCCATACCCGTTAACCCTCCAAAATTCCAATCTTTAACCACTTTTGCAGATACCCTCTTCTCTATCTCTCTTGATGGTTGTTTTAAGACGGTGATTCAAGGGTTTTCAGGCATTGTGGTCGCGACCCGGATAGGTAAATTGCTTGTTCTCGGTCTTTATGTAGTTTCTTTCGTGTTTTTAGAGGATTTGCGTTTGGGTTTCTTGATTTGTTTTGTGGGTGTTTGCTTCAAAGAATCTGCACTTCTTTCGGTTTTCTTGGCTGATTTCGTGTCTATGAATCTGGATTTGTGTCTGTTTTGGTGGGTTGATGTTGGATAGGGTGAATCTGTGATTGAATGGTGATGTTCATTTGGCCTTGTTGAGCTGGTTTATGCATCAAAATGGCAATTTTTCATGACTTTGAATTCTCTCTTTTTATGTATTGTTTGATGTATAGGTTCTTTTCCAATTGTCTTGCAGGGAACTGTGGTGTTAATTTCTTTTTGTTCATGAATAAGTAGCTAACACTGTCTAATGTATTAATTGTAGTTACATAGCTATCTGTGTTAAAAAAAAAATTGCTGGTGGAATCCACAATCTATAAATGAAATTAAGTTTTTTCTTTTTCGGTTTAGGCGAAAAAGGTTATGTGACTTATAGCATTCACTTTCTCAATTATCAGACAGGTATTTGCTGCTATATTGTACCCTTTCCAATTGATTAGTATGAAGTAAATGAGAATCTGTTCTGTGGTTATTGTATTGATGTGAATTGGGTTGCGACTTGTTTTTTGTGTTGTGTTATGTTGGACTTCCTTCACTGTCTGGCATGAGTGATGAGTTGCTCCTTGCAGTTTTGTGCCTAATCTGCTCAGTTGTGATGCAATTAAGAAACTTTACCTTGAAAAGTTTGTGTTTCTCATGACTTATTTCAACTTCCTCTCTCTGACAGATAACAGCAGAACTAGGCTTCTGCCTCCTTACTTTTATGGAGGGTTTTGGGTTTAGTGATGCAAGCAGTGCTGTCAGGAAGAAGAGGAGTAATACATCCCGTCGACCTCGGAATGAATCACATGCGCCTTCAGGTTACATTGATGTTACATCCTTATCATCCACACCACCTTCAGAAACTGTAAGCAAAGTGTCAAGTGATGAAAATAATGATCATGGTTCAATTTTGCGAAAGAAAAAAGTCAGTTTGATTCTATGCAATTCAAGAGCTTCATCTTCTAACCTTGCTGACTGTGAATCTGCCCAGAATATGATGAAGAATGAAGATGGAGGATTTGGAGAATCCGATGAAGCTTCCAATAATGGTTCTTTCCGAGGAAGTAGTGAGCGAAGGCACAGTGGAGTTGATTCTAGAAGGTTGAACCAAGGTGTCCTTACCCCAGCTAATTGGAAAAGCACAAGTAGTAGCTTGGGCCGTGTTGGAGGTTTTTCAGATGGAGTAGGGAATGAAAGTAAAGTGAAAAAAGTTAAGCTAAAAGTTGGTGGTATCACACGTACTATTACTGCAAAGTCTGCATCTGATGGCGCATCTGCCATTGCTGTTGGGTCTTCTTCTTCAAAACCTTCTCGCTTCCCAGATCCCCGGCAGAAGACAGTTGAGGTACTTCCCATCAAAATTTGTTGTCTGGTATGCTGTCATCGGCATTAGGTTTTGATGGTCATATCCATATAGATCATCGGCATGTATCACATACAGAAGGAGAAATGTTACATGTAGTGATCATTTAAATTCAGAATATTAATTTTGGGCATCTTGCTATTCTTAGATGCAGGGACTGTAAGACTTTAAATTAGCTGCTTTCTAGTGGCAAATCCTTTCACTCCACCTAGATAAAACAGAACCACATAAGAATTTCTCATTTGTTACAAATTCCTTGAACTTTTCAGTTTTCAATTCATGTTAAGAAATCCTTGTTCATTGTTTTTACTCCTTATTTGGCCCAGCGGACAGTGTTTTGCTGGGCCTTCTAATGACTGATAATTATTTAAGCACCACTAGTTACAGCTAACATCCTTCTTGCAGGAGAATTTGGACAACAACCATTCCTTTATTTCAGGTAAGGGAAGTGGTTTGCAAGGAGTCCCATGGAAGGAATTCTCTAGAAGTGGTCGAAATGATGGGAAAGCAGATGGTTTGAGAGGTGAGAATCTGTCTTCAAAGCAAACTGGTCAGTCTGAGCCAGTTCGTAAGAGTAAGCGGCTCCCTAAGAAACGCCTATTAGATGGAGTTCTTGATGATGGAGCTGAGGATTATGATGAAATTCAGTTCCTTGAAAAAGTCAAGACATCAAAGATCAGCACTAATCATGGTGCAGGGTTTGAAGATGAAGAGGGAGGAAGCAGGAAACAGCGGAAGATATTGAGAGTATTGAAGAGAAATGTTGATGGTCTGAATGATGTAGATTCTGGAGTTCATGGCTCAACTAGGTTTGGCAAGGAGGGTAAGAAATCTAAATCAGGGAGAGTATCTGAAGACACTGATTATGTGGAAGATGAAGATCTGGGCTCGGATGGTGACCCTACATCGAAGAGGAAGAAGCCAAGAAAAGAGTTAGCTGATCTATCAGCAGACTCTAAGAAGGAAATGACAGTCACTACCCGTCAACGAGCACTTCAAACTGGAAAAGATGTCTCCTCTGGTTTTGCTAGTTTGATAGAGTTCCCAAATGGGTTACCTCCAGCTCCTCCTAAAAGTTAGTTATTGTTTTTGCTTTTGAGCTCCCCCAATTGTACATTTGTGGAATTTCCCAGATTTATTTTCCTGATTATTTTGGCAACAGAGCAAAAGGAGAAACTCTCTGAAGTAGAGCAGCAATTGAAGAGAGCTGAGGCTCTTCAAAGACGTAGGATGCAAGTTGAAAAGGCAAATAGGGAATCTGAGGTTTGCCCTGTTAATATGTTTTTTTTTTCTTAATTGCAAAGATGCTAGATGGAATCTATGCATTAACATTGACTGAAAATCTTAGGCGGAGGCAATAAGAAAAATACTGGGCCAAGATTCCACTAGGAAGAAGCGGGAAGATAAACTGAAGAAACGACAAGAAGAAATGGCACAGGTAATATATAGAGAATTTGTGAGGATTCTCTGCTCATTATTTCCCCCTTCAACTTGCCCACTTGTGCTGTTGAGTTTTTGTGTTAACATTGGTGCATTTTAATTCTGTTCAGGAGAAAGCTACAAACGCCATGGTACTTGCATCAGACCATGTTAGGTGGGTCATGGGTCCAGCAGGAACAACTGTAACATTCCCCACTGAAATGGGCTTGCCAAGTATATTCGACTCCAAGCCTTGCAGGTACAAGTTCCTTGGTTTTGTTCGTGTAAAGACCCTTTTTAAGTTAATTTTAAAACTGATTTTGCTCCCTCGGTGATTTCATACGAGGCAATGTGATGTGTGAAGAATTTTTCTTTTAGATGCATGTTCTGACATGATTCAGAAAGTTCCTTTAACTGGGATGCTCATCCACCATATATTTTATAGCAACAACTGCACTAGATTGTGTTCCAGCACAACTTGTATAGGCTATTTTTCACATCTGCTATCTAGGCATGCTTTTTTCGCAGCTTCACAGCTGATGATTTTGTTTTGTTTTCATATGGATTTCAGTTACCCTCCTCCCCGGGAGAAATGTGCTGCTCCATCTTGTACAAATCCATACAAGTATCGGGATTCCAAGTCAAAATTACCCCTTTGTAGTCTCCATTGCTACAAGACGATTCATGAGAAAATGCAACCTCTTACCGCTTGTTAGGATCAAGATCCACCTGCATGCAACTACGAGTATAACAAGTACAGGCATTCCGGCACCATTATATGCAGTCTCTAGTAAGAGTTGGGGTGGATAGCATAGGGAAAGCGATTATCATCATCATATCACCACATCACCCTAGCGGATTGGACCATGGAGAAATTGTTGCTATAGTCACATATAATTGTAATATTTTGCAATGTTCTCTATCTATATAACATTTTAGTTTTCATGGAATTGTTTTATCCATCATGGGAATAGTTTTCTTATATCTGGATTCCTGTTTCTTTTTTTATTTTCCTTCGCATTTTAATGATATCAATCATTGTTGATGATTGTTGATGATGAGATCTTGTATAAACACTTATTACATCACAAAGATTCTATCTAGATACGAAGAGCATGCCTGGTTGTCTGCTGTGTTGTTAGTAAAATTTCCATTAAAGATATAAATTGGTAAAATCATTCAAATTAAAACTACTATTAAAGAAATAATTTTAAAACTTTCTTTATGAAACTAAATATTAAAAAAAATGAATTGTTTAAAAAAAGAATTCTTTCTTTGCTTTGGAAAAACACACTAGCATCATAAAAATATAATTAAAAAAATAATAATCAAATAACTTAATTTTTAAAATCCTAACCCGTCACTTTTTAAAAGTAAAATAGTAAAAGCTAGAAAAATATCAAGTTAAATAAGCTTTTAACTGTTTCATTTCCTTCAAATTTAGATTTTAAACGAAGAGTTGACCTAATAAATATAATTCACTACTCCTTTTTTTTATAGTTACAATATCCAGTTGAGTTATCTATTTACACTATAGCTTAATTATAAACCTATGATAAATATAGATATTGTAATTTTAATGATAAATTAATAAGACTTTATATCATAGATTTATAATTATGATGTAGTGTGGATGAATAAAACTCTAGATGAGAAAAGAGAAAGGAAATGACTTATTTAGTAAAAGAATGATAAGCAGGAGGGTCATTATAAGAAAATTAATTGATGGAGGGCCACGTTTAAAACATTACAAAAGTAGAGGTACTTATAGGCTTTTTAACCAGTGATCCCCAGCTCCAAAACCCGTCTGGTTCCCGTAAATCCTTCCTTCATAACTCTTCCAGAAACTTCACTCCTTCTCTCACAGCCATGGCTAGGGCACCAGGCAAGCATGGACGTGATCAAGCCCTGGTACATTTCTTTTCACTTATGGTTTTTTTTTTTTTAATACTTTCGTAACCCTGTTTGTTTCCCAAGAAAACTGTAATAAGCAAGAAAATGGAAGAAACTGAAAGCTCAACTCTTTTCAATCATTTCCCTTTCAAAACTTCATCTTCACCGTCCTTTTTCTTTTGATTATCTTTTCTATGTGTTTCTTCTTTGTGTTCTCCGATTATCATTTCTAAAAATCAAGTCTTTGTGCATGTTTCTTCTTCTTCTTTTTATAGAAATGGAAGCTTTTGTTAAATGAGATTGTATTTAATAAGGGATTTTATTTATTTATATGTATTTTGGGTGAAAACCCATTTTTGTTTCCAGGATTTCCAGGGATTTTTGAATGATTTGCAGGACTGGGAACTTCTTAAGGATACTGATAAAAAGGTGAAGACGAAATCGCAAGCTTCTGATGTGGTAAAGTTTCAATTTTGATTATGGTTTCAGTTGCTTTCAAGGCTTTTTTGTGTAATATTGGAAATGAGAAATGGGTTGTTGAAAAAAAAAACTATCTTTTATTATGGGAAGCTTGTAGCTTGGATAACAGACTTCAATGTAGTATTTGCATGTTGCTTTCTTAACTTTAGCTTGCTGTTTTAGGTGGCTCAGTGAGTTATGCATGTGTCTTGCGGGTTTATGTTTCTGATGGCTGCTTTACAGAATTTATTGGTTTGCTTTTAGAATGAAATTACGTAGTGCAGTTAATTTGTTCTTGGTTTCTTTGTGTGGAAATTGAGAGGAGGTGTTGGCAGTAGCAAGTTTGAATAATCCAATGCTTAATATTTGATAGTTCTTTTCTGAATGGAAACTTGAATGATGATTATCAACATTCTTGTGCATTTTGAGTAAGCTATAGTGGTGCTCAATTTAAGGAGCATTGATCAGTAAACTAGATGTTTAAATATGGTCTTACTTCCATATGAAAAGTCATGGCATACGTGTGTGTTTGCACCCACATATATGTTTAGAGTAATTATATGGGCTATGATAGTTGCTTGCTGAATTATCAATTTTTCGTGTATTCAGAAGATTGGTGAGGATGGAAGATCAAAGGGAAAAACTTCTGCTGTTGATTCTTCTAGAAGTGGTTCAGGACAGTATGATTACTCAAGGAACTTTGGTGCAATCAATCGTCTATCGAGTAATTTTACAACTGATGAGATTACTGTGGATGCTACCACAGAAAAAGAATTGGTATGAACTTCCCTGCAATAGCTCTTAAAAAAGATTCACTGGTAATGGATTGTGATGCTAAGTTTGCAATTTTTAAATTTACAGGGAAATGAATATTTTAAGCAGAAGAAGTTTAATGAAGCTATTGAGTGTTATTCAAGAAGCATAGCCTTGTCACCAACTGCTGTAGCCTATGCAAATAGGGCAATGGCGTATCTCAAAATCAAAAGGCAAGTTTTTCCTGTCAGATATTGTTAGATTGGTAGGTATTGTGCAGAGTTCTTGTTGCCTGATTCAATATATAAGTTCACAACTTATGATAACTAGAAGGTTTTTAATCATCTTCTTTTCGTCTTGTCATCTAGAGGTTGCTTTACTGCCTGTGAAGGTATTTTTCATGAATATGACAGTTTTCTTTTTTTTCATTCGTTTTCTTTTTGTTCAGATTTCGAGAGGCTGAAGATGACTGTACAGAGACTTTGAATCTAGATGATCACTACATAAAAGCGTATTCACGCAGAGCAACAGCTAGAAAGGAATTGGGGAAACTTAAAGAATCCATCGAGGGTGTGTTAACTCAAACTTATGTGTTGGTCTTCTCTGAATATCTAGTGCTTGATTCTTTTTGGTATAGTTTTTTGATGACTGTATGATTTAATGCGTATAGCGTACTACAGATTCTGAATTTGCTTTGAAGTTGGAACCTATTAACCAGGAAATCAAGAAACAGTATGCTGAAGTCAAATCTTTGTATGAGAAGGCAAGTGACTATCTTATGTTGGTATTCTGGCTGTTACATTTCATTGATACAATTCTCTGTAACTATTGCTATTAATTTTCACAGGAAATTCTCCAGAAAGCATCTGGCGCTCTCAGAAGCTCTTTACAAGGAACACAAAAGGGAGGAAGGTCAGAAGCAAGTGTAAATGGACATGCAGTGCATCCAGTCTCGATTCCCACTCAAAATACTGGGGTCTCTGCATCCAAAAAGGATAACACCAAGGTAAAAATAAGAGATCGGCCCTCAACTTCTGATTAATGCTCCATGTGAATTTAAGTTGTTCTTATACAACGTACCCCAAGTGCCTCCCCATTATAACACCCCCCCCCCACCCACCCACCCTCATCATTGTCCCATAGCAAATTCAGTAGATGTTCTAGTCTAGATCTAGGTTTCATGTCTCAATTTTTGTTTTTGTTACTTGGAATTTGGAACAAGAGGTAGTGTTGTTTTATGAGCATCACCAAAATGATTGGAAGCTTTTCACATTTGACTCTCTTTTATCTATGTCTAGGAAACATTTGTTTGAACTTCTAGATTTTCATGGCAGGAGAATGATGGAAACAATCTTGTGAAGAAATCAGTGCGTGTGAAAGAAGTAAGGAACAAAGGTACAGGTGCTGGAAGCAAATCTGATGGTCATGTAGGCAATGATTCTCCTGCAAATGCCACTCTGAGTTCCAGTGTAGATAGTGTCCAGGTTGAGCTTCGCATCCTTGCATAACTATCCCTTTTTTTTTTTTTACAAAGATGGAAAATAGAATTATTAAAGGCAATATCCTGTGTAAAAGTAAACAGATATCTTTCATCTTTGCAGTCTCTCCTCTTTTATTCTTATTTTTTCTAGAACCCCTAAATGCATATACTTGGCTTTTGAATTAATGCCAGGGACAAAGCACATATTGCCATCTGTCCCCATTAGACTGTGTTGTCACCCATGCTATGTATTACCGAATTCATTTATCAGTATCTTTCTGCAAATAGCCTGTAAAATTGGGACTTTTCATTTATGTGCACTTAAATTGCATTAGATTAAAACATAACTGGCACCGTTATTTGCAGATTTCATGTACCTCTTGATAGGATTCGGTACTTTTATGGGAAGATAAATTCATCCTGCTAGCTCTGAGCTTCACTTTGGGCTACTTTATACTGCTTTGCATCTGTAATTGCTGTTTCTGGTGATTGATATTTCATTTACCGGTTTGCAGAAAAATAATAGAACTCAAAGACAAGAGCTGAAGACCTCAGTAATGGAACTTGCTTCTCAAGCAGCTTCTCGTGCCATGGCTGAAGCTGCGAAAAACATTACTCCTCCAAACTCGGCTTATCAATTTGAGGTTTCTTGGCGAGGCTTTTCTGGTGATCGTGCACTCCAGGCTCACCTCTTGAAGGTTTTTGTTTTAGTTTAAATCATTAGCTTTTCTTTTTGGATAAAGGACTAGGTCAGAAAATAAAACTTAACATGCATGCAAAAAAATTGGCCTTTCTCTGTGATGGTAAATTGAGAGTGTCAAGCACAGTTACTGCATGAGATGTCATTTTTTCGGAGAGTCTCCAGTAGCATCATGTTGATGAAAAAACAATAGATATGCTGCTGCTACTTCCTTTCATTAAATTATATATTCAAGAAGTTTAGTCATTGCCTCTTAATAAATGAGTAGATGCTGTAAGTATTTGATCGGGGCAGTAACATTTATGCCAATGTTCCCCATCCAAGATGGTGCATCCACTTGACCGCTCAATGTTTTCTTTACTTGAATTAGGTTACTTCTCCGAGTGCATTGCCTCAGATATTTAAAAATGCACTGTCTGTTCCTATTCTAATCGACATCATCAAGTGTGTGGCCTCCTTCTTCATGTAAGTGGAGTTCTTCTGTTCATGTTCGGCATGTTTGGCTTTGTGTTTGGGTTAATTGAAGGTTTTATCTCTGTTCTGGTTTGTTCCTCTGATAGCGATGACATGGATCTGGCCGTCAAATATCTGGAGAACCTGACCAAAGTCCCAAGATTTGGCGTGCTTATCATGTGTCTTTCATCTACAGATACGTCTGGTATGCTTTTGTAATGCACCTTTGCAGATTTTAGAAAGCCTTGAGATGACACTTCATCAAATATGTTCCATTTGTCAGGTTTAGCGTTCTAATGTTTAATCACGTATTGACTAAATTTGATGTCTTGTCTGTGTTTAATTTTTTGGATGGCATGCGAAGTTTCTGATTGTGCACATGGTACACTATAAATTCCTTTACAACACATATCAGTTCAAGCAATTGTCTTGTATGAACCACATAATAACATGCAAAGTTCTCTTGTATGGATCTATCATATTTGAACATAATTTTCAAGCTCAATTATTGAGATTAGTATGGGTTTATGTGCACGCTGACTTGATTATCATCTGAGCAGATCTTCTCAAGATGTGGGATGGAGTCTTCTGTAGTGCATCCACGCCAATTGAATATGCTGAGATTCTTGACAACTTACGATCAAAATACTGTCCCAAATATTGACAGGCATGTAACATAGAGAGTTTTTAGTATCACATGTTCTTGATCCAGTCCTAACGTTGTTGTAAGTAACTTTTCTTTTCTTTAAACGAATTGTAAGTAATGAGTTCAATACCTCCACCACTTCTCTTTTGATGTACCCGGTGGGAATTCATCAAGAATTTGCTAAAATGTTTTGAATTTCTCTTACATCTAGCTCCGTTGCCTCTTTGGTTTATTTCATCTTTTGATCCGGAATGAGTTTTTGAAGGTTTGAACTACTGTCGTGAATTCTTGATTGTATAATTTTTTTTGATCTAGATGTCTCAACGTTGAAGGTAGGTGGCTTCTTAGGCAGCCAGAAGAAGCCTCGCTGCCATGCCAGGTTTCCTTTATTCACCTGACTTTGAAGTTGCATCGGATTTCGGTTGTGATACAAGAGAATTTCAATAGACCAACTTGAACTCTATCCAGAGAGACAACAAAGATGAGCTCCGATTCTTTCTTGAGAGAAAAGAAAAGGAAAAGGACCTCCTGCATAATTGTCTCCATTGATATCAAAATATAGTTATGAAAGCAAAAGGTTGAACTAAAAATCTCTTTATTGTTAAAATTAAATTTAGAACCAACTTGGTATCGAATTTATATTGGGAGATCTAAAATTCTAAATAAACCTCACCATGTCTGAGAAATTCTATGGTACTTGGGCTATAATCTATCAATAATTATAATATACAAAGAGAGACATATAAGGAGAAAAATATAAAGGAATAAATCGAAAAATAATGATTTTATAATATAAAAAGAGAAATACGAGAAAAATATTAAAGAATAAGTCGAAAAATAATAATTTTCAGTGAGAAGTGATATATTCTTATCATTTGTTCTTGTTTCTCTAGCCCTAATGTAATTTTTTTCATTTTTTTATTTGAAATTTATTAAAATAATGTTTTTAATGAATTATTTTATTAAAATAAAATAGTTCGGCTGCAAGGACATCATTTCTCTCATGCTTGTTACGTGGGAAGGTCCAAACATTACCACAAATCTGCCCCGGTTTGTGACTTAGTAAAACACCAACTCTCATCCTGATTATTTTCTGAAAAACGATATTTTTATTAAGATAATATTATTTTGATTTTTTTTTTTTAAATGCATGTTCTAAAACTACTGGGGAGAAGGAGATTGACCCGGTTCGACGGAGTCTTGAATGTCTGGCCCCTTCTACCATTGATATTATTCCTTGATATTGACCATTCTCTCACAAGTACATAGAGCTGGCCTCTTTTTCTTTTTCTTTTTCTTTTTCTTTTTAATGTCAAAATATATTAAAGAAAATGTTTTTTTATCGTAAATTTAATGCATGCACTGTGCGTAAATTAAGAAAATGAATGGGATAATAATAAAGATACTTGCAGATCTTGTTGCTGATCTTTTTTGACCTGAAATTCATTGAACATAAAAAGGCATGTGATGCTAATTAATGAGATAGATTAAGACTTCTAACCATTTCCTTTTCTTTTAAATTATAATTTAAAATAAAAAATTATTTCAAACAATCTGTTTTTTTATTTACTTACTTGGAAGACTTGTTTATACATGGCAAAAACAGAGGCATGTCAAACACCACTGCAACAGTGTATAGTCGGATCACGATAGAGCCCTTTAACACATGGTTAATTATGGGTTTAATTAGAGGTCGATGCGGATTAATATAAAAAATTATTAAAAAGATGTAAATAATGTTTTTTTTGTCCCGAGTAAGCTAGGTTTAACAACAATGCGCGTTATTCACTAGGGACGGTCAAAATTTGGTGTTGTGGACGTATTGTCTCGAGTTTTCTCATAGCTTCTCTCCATGTCTCTATTGGTTTTTAGTCTTTGTAAGCTTGTATTTGTAGTACTGTTGCATGGCCCCAATTTTGTACAGTTCTCTCCCGTGGGGTGGGGCAAATTTAGAGCACCCAACTCATAATCCAGGTGTTATTGTACTTATGATGATATATAATGCATGGATTCATATGATCCAGGAGGAGGTCCATTCATTTGATCTCGAGTCACTTTCCTCTTTATCTATTTAAGTTTCTCAAATAATTGATTGAGAGATCATATATATATATATCCCTTACCATTGGATATAGGCCATGTAGGTTTTATGATGTCTCCCACTATTTTCAGCAGCTAATTTGCTGATCGATCCCACAGATTACTATTTACTATTTCTCTGTGACAAGAATAATCCTCTCATTTATCTCTTTGGTAACAGTTGCATTTCGTTTATTTCTGATTTTTTTTTTAGGTTTTTAATTCATCTTCATTTTAAGAAAATATTAAATTAATGTATTTTTAATCAAAATATATTTTTGAAAAGCACTCTACACCACCATGATACTAAAGATACACAAATATTCTTATAATAAGATAGGAAAGTATTATATATTAATTAATATAACTTGTAAAAATCTATTAATCAGAGTAATTAATATAAGTCAATTAATTAATATAATCAATTTGACACCCATTGGAACTTGACTTGGATTGAGTTTCATTTTAAATAAGATAATGTTTATAGAGTCAAAACCTGAGTTGCATTTCATTTGATTTTAAAAAACAATATTATTTTAATTATTTTTAAAAAATTAAAATAATATTATATATTTTAGATTAATTCAAGTTAATCTATTCAAGATTAAGTTTAATAACTTTAGTATTAATAAAATAAGTGATAAATTAATAGAAATTAATTCTGGTTGAGATTTTAAGTTTTAGCCATTAAATTGTATTATCAAATAATTCTAGTATTCTTCTTCACTACAATCTTCAGCAGCTTATCTAAGTGGACGCTGCATCATCTTTTCAAAAACTTTCCTTTCTATAAATTGTCTTCAATAATTGCAAGCAGCAACCACCACCATGGAACATGAGTGCTAGCGATTGTGTCGGGGTTCCCATGAGACAAATTTCAAGGCAGTATTTGAGATATGTATATGATTGGTTTTATTTTTTCTTGAATGATTTTTTTTCATAAGTTATGATTGATCAGTTTGGTTTCATGTTGTGGTAATTTTTGTGTTTTTAAAGTTTTTTAAAAAAATATTTTTATTTAAAAATATTAAATTAATATTTATTTATACTTTCTGATAAAAAAATATTTTATACCATAATAAAGCCACTCAAAATTAATTACTATAGAAAAATTCAAGAAATGTAATTAGTGTTGAAAAATAATATAAAATTATATTTTAAAATCTTATCTAACAATTTAAGATTTTAAACTGAGATGGTTCTTTAATATGATATTAGAGTCTTAATAATCAAGTAGTTACAAGTTTGAATTTTTTTATTTTTATTTATTAATATAATATGAATCTATGTATGTTAAAAAATAATATAAAATAATATTTTAAAATTTTACTTAATTGTTTAATTTTTTAAATTTAAATAATTCTTTAATAAATAATAAAGAAAAGACAAGTATAGTGATATACAGCGAGGAGTAGTCATCTTTATGAAAGCAATGATTAACTTAATTGAGATGTTTTCCATTCATGCTGAATTTTTCAATTTTAATTATGAATTAAATTTTCAGCTTCATATGATCATGTTATTCTCAAAAACTTTATTCACACGTGAAATTTTATAGGAATTAAATTTAATTTTTTCTTGAAAGTATTGGTTTTATTTTTTTTTTATTTTTAGAATTCATGAAAAAACCATCAAAACAATTTTTTTTATTTTTTAAATAAAAAATTAATTTTAAAATTCAAAAACAAATAATATTTTAATAATCTTGATTAAATTATCCGGAGATTAATAATGATATGTTGACTGTCTTAGGCTGGAAGAAAGGCACATTATTATTTATATCCTAAAAAGTGGGGAATTCTTATCTCCATTCTTTTCGATCGAGCAATCATTCATCGTTTTCCACCTGATTTCAGAGTGTCTTTGATCTATACATTGTTCATGGGACCTGGCTAAGAATCTTAGGCTTTGAACATTAATTCTTTATTTCTACATCAATTACAAATAATCCCATGCATGTAACCATCATGAGTTTACTGAGGTGAAGTATTGAAAATAATTTTATGAAAATAATTTTTAATATTAAACTAGAACAGCAATGAAATATAGTATTTACTGAAAAAAATCACTATAAATTATTAATATTTGTGGAAAAGCCATGTTCAGATTAATTGTGCATAAAAACCACCTTGTCAAAATAAACAAATGTACTCTTTTGAGTCAAAGATTTGCCTTAATTATCTCTCCCACTTTGCAGATACTGCTAATCATATTCTTTGCTGCTTAATGATTTATAGCTTGGATCCACCAAACTTGTTGTTTTATAATGGTATCTTTCTTCATTAGGGGAAGCGACAAGTTCTTGGTTGCTGAGAAAGGGATTTTCAAACCAATTCAAGATAGAATTTGATAAGGATTTGAATAATCTGACTTGACCAATTTGAGTTCTTTACAGCCAGTTCAGCATCATTTTCTTCTTCTTTTTTAGATTAACGTGGGTGTTCGGGCCAGCTTACGCGCACCACGACTAATCCCACGGGCCCTGAAGTTAACGACCATGTAAGCCTCCAGTGGCTATCATATGAGCAACCAAGGATTCGAACCTGAGATCACAGAGGGAGCAAACCCCTTAGTCCCAAGTCTTTACCACTTAGCCACCACCTAGATGGTTAGTTCTTCTTCTTTTTAATTTAACTAGTTGAATCACCTCTTTTTTTCCCTCTCTTTGGGAATAATCAACATTAAGGTACACGTTATTTTAACGAATGTTCTAATTAAATTGTTTTTGGTAGAGAAAAATGAGCATGATCATAACTTTGATGTAGGAAATTCAACAGCTGAAGATGGGCAGGGAAGAAATTTATTTAATTGAATAGTTTTAAGAGTAACATAATTAGATAAATAAATTTTATATTATTTTAACAAACATATACTGTCTCTCTACCGTTTAGATTCTTTTTGCATGGATTAATGAATGTTTCTAGAAATTCTGCACCAAACAATGCTTAATCAGATCAACAAGGAATTCAAGCACAAGCATTCAAATTCAAGTGCTCTTCTACGAAACCTATGAGCTTTATTTGCTTCCCGTCACCTTAGTTTTTAAAACATGGGCAATGAGTTTAGTCTCTACATTTAGCTAATCCTCCATTGTTTAGAATACTTGATTAGTTGAATTTCTTTCTCAAATATAATCTCAGTTTCTCGTGCCGGAAGACGGCCAGTCCGTATGCGCATTCATCTTCCCAAACGAGAGAAAAAAAAAAAAGAATATTAAAAAATATTTTTAGTTTAAAAACACAAGTTACATTATATGTGTGTCCGCATTCCCTTAGTCCTACTATCTTATTAAATAACACACCTTTAGGAGGATCTCAGAAATCCCACACGCAAAAAATAAAAAAATAAATAAAGGGGCAACGAAGAAATAACCAGCAAGTTGGCTAGCAACAAAACTATGAAGGATGACCCCATGGCACACCATCTCTGGCATGACACAATAATGGAGCTCATGGCCTCAAACGAGAGTGGAAACAGTGGAGCATGGTACCCAAACTGTACGAAATCACTGAGGCACAGCTGCTCTTGAAACCCACAAAATTCAATTTCTTTTAGCCATTAAAGAGCATTCGAGTTCTGTCAGATTTGAATATGCCTGCCACAGTTTGACCTGGCCACTGCTACTGGGACGATAGAGAGACACGTTGGTCATCTATAAACACGGGAGCTGCTTCACCATTATCATTCTACTGTTACTCCCCGTACTGTGTCAACAACGTGCAACCACCTGCATCAATCATTTCTCTATAACTAAAACTAAGTTATCCTCCAGTCTACAAACAGATAATAATTATCTATTTATTTTTTATTTAAAATTAATATTTTAAAATTATTTTAATGTCCTGATATAAAAATAATTTTTAAAAAATAAAAAAATTATTTTAAAATATTTTTATACAAAAACACTTCAAAAAATAACCTTTTAATTTTAAAACTTATCCATAAGTCCTTTATAATTTCTTTAGGGGGAAAAAATCATGTTGTTTTTGTTTCTTTTCCATCGTGTTCTCTTCTCATCTTGCTTGGTGCAGAAGAAACCATAATAACATATGAGGTATTTGCATGGTTAAATTATTAGTTTGGATGCAATAAACTCTTTCTATTATTTCATCTATGTTTTAAGCTCTACCTCGGTCGAAACATCATAATAAATTCATAAAATTCTCTGGACAGGGTTACCATAAAAATTGTAATTTAAAATATATCATTGAATATATTCTCTTCAAATAATTTTTCTCTTAAAAAAGTTTACAACCCCTTAAATAAATAAAAAAAACTACAAAATCAGAAAAAAAAATCCTAAACAAATTAGGGAAAAAAAAGAGAGAGGGGAGCAACAAAACTAGCATAAAAAGCACATTCTAAACCTAATTTGAAAGTTATAATTCTTGACAAAATTTAAAGACAATCTAATAATCAAATAAAAAACTATGAATTTTTTTTTATTATGTAGAACATTCCGCAACCTATGTCTCTAATTGAGCTTAATCCTATTCAATATATTTATAAATATCCCCATAAAATTATCCATATAGTCCAGCGATTTATAACTATCTAATTATAGCTATTTGCACAAGAGAGAGGTGGGTGTGGTAATTCTCTTCTTTTAGGAGTTTAAAAAACTAAAGGTATCCTGGGGTTTTTTACAAAATTTAAGAGATCAACGAGTTAAGAAGTCAATTAACATCTTTTGAAACAAAAGGGACTGAATTGTTTTTTTCTAAAAAACTAGGGACTGAATAAATAATTAAATTTTTTCTCTTAATTTAATACATGCGAACCTTTTCAGCAGTCACCCCTCTCTACTCTCTAGTCACTACGACTTCTACTCACTGTTTTCTGTCTTTGTATGTGTATGGTGTCCACTTTATCCTAGGTCTTCTTGGAAAAAAAAGGTCTGGTCTTTTTCCAACCTGAGCCTCAGGGTTACTTTCAAAGTTCATAATAGTAGTAGCTATAGCAGAGCTTCTTGCATGTTCTCTTTCTCTTTCTACTGCTCTGGTTCATTCATTGACTCACTAAGATTCTCTTTCAACTATATATTGAAGTCTGGGCATTGGAGAGGATGGGATGCGCGCGCGCTCTCACTGTTGTTATTACTTGAAAAACTAACTAGATCATTTTGTTTTTGTTCTTTAAAGTTGTTGGTGTTTTTTAATGAGGGTTTACACTGTTTGCTGATAACTTTCTTGGGTTTTTCATATATATTATCACCTGGATCACAGGTCATCCCTACTACAGTATTTTTCAATGCCAAAGACTCTCTCTCTCTCTCTATCTTTCTTGGGATTCTTAATAACTTGGACTTTCTTATCTTGAAGTGCTTAGAATCTCTCTCAAAGATCTTCTCTATAAAAGGTTTTAGTCACTTGAAGATCAGCGAAGCTAATATTCTTGCTATTACAATTCTAGTTTGATATGTTTCTTGACAATCTTTTCGTGTACTAGCAAACAATTTCATGGAGGAATTCTATAGGTTTAATCCTACATTTTTTAGTTCACCAGACGATAGTGTCAGGCTTGAAAACCTGGCCGTTGCAAACTTTCCTGATGCTTCTACTAGTACTACCACTGAATTTCACAGTCATGCTAGTAGTTTTCTTCAAGCCGGTAATGGTCATAGAGAAGTCACTGGATCAGATATGTACGATGCAATCAAGACCCAGATCGCTAATCACCCTCGTTATCCAGACCTAGTATCTGCACATTTAGAGTGCCAAAAGGTTTATAATCATCATCTTCATCATCATCGCATAATCTTTGAGCTTCTAAACTTTACCCCTTTTTCTATTTTTTTTAAAGAAGTTTTTGTTAAAGGGGAAGAAAAGAATAACATGAAAGGAACAAAAATGGAAATCAATAGTGTCAAATTTGAGCTGTTGAGTGATTTTCTGTGTCTTTGTTTGCTTTGAAGGTTGGTGCTCCTCCAGAAATGGTGTCTCTTCTTGAAGCCATAGGCAGAGGGAACTACAAAATCAATACTTGCTACGAGATAGGAGCTGATCCAGAACTTGATGAGTTCATGGTATATTTTGAAACCCATAGTTTTGTCTTATTTCTTAATTTTTTTGTGTGTTTTTTAATTTCTTTTCTATTCAAGTTCCTTTGATCCTCAAGATTCAGAAAAAAAAAAAACTTTGAACTTTTTATTTCCCTTTCATATTTCAAGCTATGAGGTTCTAAGTATTGTGCTTCCTTTTCCCTTTCTTTTTAAGCAGCCAAATGGAATAATAATTTCTGTCTACTAGTTTTATTCTTGCAATAAATTGCTATAACCAGTGAAACTGCTGCTGGTTTTCAAGGAATCATACTGTGAGGTTCTTCATAGATACAAGCAGGAATTGTCCAAGCCATTTGACGAGGCTACTACGTTCTTGAGTAGCATAGAATCACAGCTAAGTAGTCTTTGCAAAGGAACATTAACAAAGATATTTGATTATGGCTCAGGTAAATTTTCTTGCACTGTGCCGTTTTCCAACATTGGTTTCCATGATCAACTCGCACCTAACTAAAGTTGTACTAGCTAGTTGTTAAAAGGGGTAATGTTGTTCTATTATATATGCATTAAAATCAAATGAATGCTGAGAGAGGTACATTGAGATCAAACTTTTGCTACTGTGCTTGTTGAAAAGAATAGTTTCACTGATCATTGATGAGTTGAAATGTTGGGATTCTCTATGAGTAATTAAACACCATGTTCTGTCCTTACCGTTCATGATCTTCTGCTTTATTTTGGGCCCCTACCTAAAGTTGGTCCTACTTATTTTGATGAAAATGATGTGCAAAAACATATTTTCGTTTTCAGGATTGTTTGTTTATTGATTTCCTGTTTGTTGATGTAATATATTACACATTTAGTTAGACAGAACAGTATAGAAACATGCAAATAATCCATGGTTTTATTTTGTTTTATGACTGGTTATTAAGGCTGATAAATGGTGGGAAGTAGAGGCTTAAGTCCAATGCTAACTTTGCCTAGGGCCTCTCTTATAAAAGCTTTGGTGCCATATGAGTTTGTTTTTTTACTTTTCAGTTTCATATTATATAAGCTACGAGAAAACTTTGTAATATTTTAATGTGGAATCAAGGGTTCTTGGGTTTGCAAAACATGCCAATCAAGGTTTTTTTAGATTAATTTTTAATTTATGAACAATTTATTTTAATCAAGTTGATGTTTTATGTTAAAGTACTTTTTGTTAGAGAATAATGTACTTTTTGTTAGAGAATAATTTCCAATAAAGTTTTAATCTTAAACGTTGTTAATTTGATCTCAAATATATGCTTATTAACTATAGTTTTAAAAACAAATTTCTAACATAATTATCCATCAACCATCTATGATAGTGAACGAGTTTGTGTCTCAACTACTAAGTTTTCTATGAAATGTTGATGTATTTGTAATTTTTATAGAATGAATACAAGGTTTCTGAATCATGTTTCACTTCAATGGTAGCGTATCATGTTCTGCATCGTTTTCAATTAAAATTCCATTTAATTGCTTAGGCTTAGAATCTTGTATGTGTATAATCTGTCACATTAACTGAAATTTGATCCCGTGAACATTTCTTGTTTCTCATAATTTGTTCTTCCATTCATGTTTTTATTATTTTTCTGTATTCGTGCCAGTTGCTGAAGGAACTAGCATAGTCAATAAAAATGGTATGCAGGAGGCACATGCCATGAAATTGTACAAAGCATGCTTTTGATTATAAATAATATAATCCTAGGTTCAATTTATTTGGCATTACATAGTAAGACTTGTCCAAAACTGCACTAGTTAGGACACACGGGAACAGCTTTCTTATTGTTTGGCAACATTGTACTAGTCATTGCATTTAAGTAGATCAGTACCTGTTGGTCCTCCTGTGTTACAGTACTATTCAAAGACAAGCAACTGTGCTCCCAAAAACCTTAGATTATATCTCTTAACAACAAGGACTTGTTTTGCTGCTTCGTTTCTACATGATTTATGAGCTTGGAGGTGTCTGAAAGTTGATGTTAAACTTGTGTTAGCAAAATTCTATCTCAGCTAGTTACTATTACCTATGGCGCTGGAAGATGATTGATAGCTTGTTAATGTTCAACATCTTGCCTGTAGTTTTCCAGTAGCTTGATAAAGGGGTTTCTTTCTCCTTTGGGGATCTGGTAGATTAACCTATAAATGGCCACCACGGATTTCATTTCTATCATTTCAAGAGATGCAGCCTTGTGACATGAAAAGTGTTTGATCTTAATTTTAAAGTTGTTGCTTAATGTTTTATTGGTTTTTCAATGCAGAAGTCTAACTACACTGTACTGTCTTTGTGGTTTCATATCAGATGAGCCAGCAGGGACTTCCGAGGAGGAGCTAAGCTGTGGGGAGGTCGAAGCATCTGAAAGTCAAGAAACAACAGGTGTTAGCTCAGAAGAGCAGAATCTAAAAGGAATGCTCATGCGCAAGTACAGTGGCCATCTTAGCAACTTGAGAAAGGAATTCCTAAAGAATAGAAAGAAAGGAAAATTACCAAAGGATGCAAGGACAACACTTTTGGACTGGTGGAACCACCACTATCGATGGCCATATCCTACGGTGATCATTATAACCTTATAATCTGATTATTCCTACTTCTTTTCACTTTACATTTTGTTATTCTCTTGGTTTTCGTACAAATGTCTCTTGCATGTGCTATTATACTTGCTCCACAAGTTCATGATATGTTGAGGCAAGAGAGAAAGCACAGAGAGGAGATATCGATGGAGAGAGATATTATTAGTTGAATTAACTATACATACTTGGATCATTAACAAGTTTCACGAGAAATATTCAAGTCTCTTGTATATCTTAGCAAGAAAGCGATTTCTATTTGAAGGATATTCAGCGGATAATATAATTGGGTTTGCAAGCTGAAAACTATAGAAAGTACATAATCTTGGCATTATTATATAGAATATACAACACCGGTATTCGAAATCTTTTTGCTGAAAACGTTGCAGAAGGTGAAAATCCATCCAGAAATAAGTTGTAGAAGGTGAAACTCTGTAGTGTGCTGATGCATTTGGTTCGGAGTAACCCTTCATTATCTTGAAACTATATAATGTGCAGATGCATTTATCTCGGAATAACCCTTCATCATCCTTCAACCCCAATTTATCAGTCAATGTTCTGTTATGTGTACTTTGAAGCTATAATCTAGAAACTTTAACATTTCATAAATTCCGGTCACAAATTGTTGCCCAAGAATCTCTATCAGCCATCTTCAGCAGAGTTAGTCTACAGTTCAATCTTAATCCAGCACTCTTGATCTGCAATAGCTGAAGTGTCATGAAAGCTTATGGCAGTCCGTTCCTTTCCTTATTTCCTTCCATGATAATTTTTTAAGCCTAACCAGGATGAATGGATGTCATGGTATAACAGGAAGAGGAGAAAGCGAAGTTATCAGAGATTACAGGACTAGATCAAAAGCAGATTAACAATTGGTTTATCAACCAGCGGAAGCGGCACTGGAAACCATCTGAAGATATGAGGTTTCCTCGCATGGATGGTGTCAGCGGCGACCCAGGGGCCTCCCCCAATATGCTATGGTATTGTTGGTGATGGTTTTGGGACATAAAAAACTCCAATTTGGTATCTCCTCCTCCTCCTCCTCCTCATCCTCTTTTATAACTTGCATACTTGTAAAGCTATCTACTTAAAAGTTCGTAGATGTTTAAAAGCCATTGGTTCCGATTCTTACAAAGCATTTCTGTTTCCTAAGTTGTGACCAACATGAACTCTCTTTCTCTTGTGTATGCATGTTTGTGCTTTAATCCTATCATGCTGAAAACCAGGAACTCCCTTGGTAACGTTAAAGGAAATCTCAGATCAGCTTTGTGCATAAACTGGAGTTATATCAGTTAGCAGTTGTAAACTCTTAAGCTTGCTTTCTGTTTGCTGTTGCTTGTAACGCTCGTAGCAGGACCGATCCTTTTGTATTATTTTATTTTTTTGACGATAAAGAGTATTTTCGGATCATTTTGCTTGTAAATCAAGACTAAATTCCCTTCTCAGGTTAATAAATTTTTCTAATTACAAGTTTGAACATAAAGAAGGAAGCATGCCTTTTACCACCGAGCCAATCACCGAGCTTTTGCTTGTAGTTGGTTTTTAATCATTAGTGAAATGAAATTTTAGATTCAGAGACTTTCATGTTAAAAATTATTTTAATTATCTAGAATTGAATTTCAAAATGGTATAAAAGCAAATCAAAGATCAATCTTTCTGACTTGGTATACAAAAAAGAAAAGAAATTAGGTTTTTTAAAATGTTTAACTATCCAATAATCCATTAAAGAGTTAATCTTTCTACTCTTGGGATTGCTTTGATCGAATTCTGCCCCTCATTTTTATATTGATCGAGTCCCTTTATTCATCGTTTTGTGTTGAATGGATGCCTTGTCTGGGATCCACCACAATCTTGGAACTCTTGAAGAGAGACTGTTTTCCTAACAAGACCTTTTCGAAAATTAAGATCCGAGTAGAAATCAATTTTGACATAGTATTAGTTTCAAACAAGCTGTAAGAAGAATCAAGGATGTGAATAAATTGTCCTGAAGAAGAAAAGTTTTTGCAGTTGCAAGGTTGAACTCCATAGAAATTCTCATAATGCTAGCAAGCGTTTGGCCTTCTCTTTTACACATATGCAATAGAGCCCACTAGGAGCAGCATGTTTTGGGGCTTAGTCTTCTTCTTCTTCTTCTTCTTCAAGCTCTCCATTGTTCGTGATGGTCTTCTTAAAAATTCCATATTTTTCTTCTGATAATATAGCCATGATAATCACTTAATCATTTAGTCAATCCCAAACAGTAAACACATCATTGGAATGATAACTATATGAAACAAATAACAGAGATTATAGTTTTTTATTGGACAAAATAATTTATTTTTGTGTTTTAAAAATATTTTTTAAAAAGATTAATTTTTTATTTTTTCTTCAATTAATTTTTGTGTTATAAGATTATTTTGATGCGCTAATGTCAAAAATAATATTTTAAAAAAAAATTAAAAAAATATTATTTTAATATTTTTTAAATATCATTTTAAAAAGTAATTGTTACTACAATACCAATACCAATTAATATTTAAAATTATCTTATTGTAGTAATATAAAAGTCAATATTACAAGTTTCATGTTTTTAGGTAAGTTATTTTTTTTTTTATTATTAACGTGAAGTGTCCGGGCTAGCTTGTTTTTTTTTTTATTAGGTAAGTTGTTTTATTTATACAAGATGTGGGATCTTTTTAGCCAATTATTTCGGTCTATCCCAACTAGTTATCCACTATTTGATTTTGTTGTCATGCCTTTTTAGATTATATATTTTTTTATTTGATTAGTATTTTAGAATAAAGAAACAAATATAAAAATGATAAAAACATGTTTGGTTACATGAATAAAAATAAAAATGTAAAATAAATATATTTTTAAGCAATTTTAAAATAAATTTTTATCATCATAAAACAAAAAAAAATACAGGGAAACATGCTTTCTATATTATAAAAAAAAGATTTACTGTACAAGCTTCGTTGTTTCAGAACTATCATTTATTTATTATTTTCTATATATTTAAAAGCAGGCAGTGGGGGGTGCTTACAGGTTCTTTAGAACGACTAGTTCTTCATGACTTGGAAGAGGTTGTGCAAGATCACGCCAATGTTTCTAGCCTAACACCATCTATGTTTTTTTCAAAGAAAAAAGACATGATTTACAAATATTATCCTGCACAAGTTACCCAGAAAATTTTCTTAAAATAGGGCTTAACATTAAAAAAAAATCAAGATCAAAGAACCATTAATTTGTCTCCTCTTCAATATTATAATCTAACGACTTGTGTGCATTTTGAATTGTTTTTCTTGTTATATTTTTTTTTTAATATTTACTATCACTCAAATTCTTAATATTGTTTTCTAATAGGTTAAAATAAATTCTCCCAAGATAGACAAATACATTAAAGTTATACTTTTGCGTCGACACCCTGATAGGAATTTGTTCTTAAGGTGTTTTGTGCGGTAAATATATGTTTTTAAATCGAGTTACATTGTGAAATTGCATTGAATTCAAATATAAATTTAAATTCAATTGATAATATATTATAATTTTTATGTTTAAAATAAATTATTAAACTGTTTGATTCAATTTAATTATATTGTTTGAAATACTAGTAAAATTAATTAGCTTAGTAATCTTGACTATTTTACTTTTAATTGAGAAATCATTTATTTTTGTTATAAGAACCCTTGTATTTATTTACAATGACATAAAATATAGACATTTTAAAAAAGATATAAATAGATCTATCTTACATTAATTGTTTATTAATTTTTTTTTGAAAATATACATGTTAAAAAAAGGAAAGATTCAGGTAAAAACAAAAAAAATAGATAAAAAAAAAAAGATTAATAACATACCTTATAACAAACAAAAATATGTTATGGGGATTGATGTGAAGTAGAGAAAGAAAGGATATTATATTGTCAAGGGTTTTTGGATGCAAAGAAAAAGGCGTGTGAGAGAGACAGAGTGAACATAAGGTATTTGTTAGCATATGAGTATGTTTAAAATATTGTTTTTAATGTTAATCTCAAAGAGTTTAGCAAATCGGAGGATTTCTCCTCTAATTTATTTTTGCATTTTTTTATAAATTAAATTTCATTTGAAATTCAAGTTAATATTTAAAAAAAAATTCAAAACACAAGAACTTATTTAACCTTTTAAATTAAATTCAATTCATGGAATTCTAAACAAGTCTAGCATGCCATATATTGAACAAACTGATTAAACAATCCTTTCCTTTACAAACAAACTTGATGTAAATTCAAAAGGAAAGATAGCCTTGATTGTCTATACAACAATATGTCATATATAATGCTTGCAAAACCAGACAAAAGAGGAGTCTCCTTCAATTTATGGGTTTTCTTTTCTTTGCATCCTCTTTTTTTTTTTCTTTTTTTGCTATGGTCATATCTTAAACAATTACTACCCCTTCTGGCACATAAAACAAAAACAATAATTACATGATGATGGGAAAAAAAGAAAAAGAAAAAAGAAAAAGGAAACAAAATGGGATGAGATTGAGGTCATCATAATGGTGGACTGTTTTTCTCCACGTATTGGATTTAAACTATTCAAGTCAAAACATAACTATTGCAAGGTAAGGTTTGATTTTTAATTAGCATTTTTGTTTTTCATTATGTGGAAGCCAATGTAGGAGGCTTCTGTTGGTTGCTTCCAAATACCACTAGCTTTCACATAATGTCAAGCAGCTTAATTAATTTGTCAATGGCAATAGACTCCATTGTTACAGAAACCAAGAAAATAATGCCAGTGTTAATTACTATAATATTTTTCCATTGGATTTACCGATTTTCCCAGTAAAATTAGTATCGCCGAATCCAATATAATATAGACATGGTGATTAAACCTAATAATGGAAAGGGAGAGTAGGAAATGATAAATTAGTGGTAAGGGCAGTATTTTTCTTTGATTTTTATGTGCAATTAATTGGATGTCTTTTTTGAGGTCATAAAACTGTTGAAAATGGAAATTATTATGTTGGAATGAATAGAAGATGAACTTGGCAATTAACTACCGAAGATCAGGAACCTGAAAAGACGTGCTTGCTTTTATTTACATCCATCAAGGGACAAATTTATTCATGCCATAGCACACAGAGTACCGTTAATGAGCTTGTAGCTCAATCAATGGCCGGTTTGGAGTTCGAATCTTTTCTTGAATGAAAAAAAGAGAGTAATTTTTGGAGATATAGTTTGAAATAGATGTTTTTATTCATTGAAGTTGAAAAGCAAAAGACACAAATTCGGAAGGACACAACAAAAGTAGAAAACAATAATACATATGTTAGACATTCATGAGACAACAAGATGCAATTAGAGATCAATTCTCAATTGGTGCATAATATAAGAAGATATTAAGGTCGCACACATGGATAGAGAGTTTATGAGTGTTGCTCCTCAACAGCCAACTCTTCAACCATGGTAACATGGCTGAGGGGATTGAAGGCCAGGATCTCACAACACTTGTTAGGCAGCACTATCATGGAGCCCAGACCAGTTTGCTGATGATCAATTGATTTTAGAGGCATTGAATATTTACGAGCGATGACAACAGAGTTTATCACCTCATCACTCGGATGAAACACAGAGAGGACCTCGAATCCTCGAAGATCACAAGGATCAATCACTGGGTAGAGAAAAGCCCTAGCTCCATGAGCACTCCTCAGCATCAATATAGCACCAGGAGCCATCTGCTTAGCCAAATGATCGATGACCTTAACCTTCTCCTCCTTGTCCATCCCAACTAAAGCTGCCAAGAAGACGACATCAAACTCTTGAAGCTCACTTGTCACATCCATTATATCGGTCGTGTGGAAGAACATTCTACTCGACAAGTCAGGATGAGACGTGACTAATTGAAGAGCCTTCGAATTGGCTGAAGGGTCAATATCATAGTTGTGGAAGGAAGTTGCGGTGAGGTGATTACAGGCTAACACAATTGAAGTTAAGGGAAGCGGACCGGAACCCACAAACGCAACTTTGCTAGGGACATTCGTGCAGTGTTGCTTGAGGATGTTGAACTCGAGGTGGCTAAGCTTAAGGTAGTTTGAATAATATGGAAAGACATTGAGATGGTCAAGAGGGTTTTCATAGGACCCTAGGATAGCAGAGAAATGACTCTCTAAAAGCCCTTCCGCTTCTCCACAAAGTCTAATGAGCTTAGACCTCATTTCTTGAATTTTCTTGCAAAGCTTGTTGACATCGATAGGGTTTGGTGGGATGCACGTGAGAACAAGCTGTGTGAAGAGCATGTCGACATCTTTGGAGGGTTTGAGACTCTCAAGGCTTGAGATTTGCTCATACAGATCGCAGACTTTCTGTACAAGAGGTTCTTTCTGGCAAACCATGTCGACACTGTGAGGCTACAAGCAAGGACTCTTGAATATCAAATAAAACTCACTAACACTCTACACAACTGGGGAGGAGAACACTCCAATGAGGTCATTATTTATGGGCACTCGCGGGGCTCACACCGCACAAAAAAAATATAAAATAAAATTATTGCTGTGTTACAGAAGGGACTGCGTCAAAATAAATTATACTGAAAACACATCTAAATTAAGCATCACTTTTACTATAAGATTTTGGTGATTAAATTACTTTATGTCTTTTCATTTAGGAATGTCCTCTGGTTAAAAGCTTGGGAATATATGCAAATTAATTTTCTACTTTTCTTAACTCAAATAGTTAATCGATTAATCGATTTGCTTTAAATGTTAGATTATTTGAGAAATTATAATTAAATAAGATTTACATTTTATAAGGATTGAAGGAAACATCCCACACATCTCATCAGCTAGCATGCTACTTTGGCATCACAACCTTGTATTGGCTTGTGCTCAAAAGACGAGAGGTAATTACTTTTGAATTAGGGTTTTGATGGACCAAATTAATTATAGATGGTTTGATTATTTTTCTATTGTGAAATGTAATCAAACCCATGGTCCCGATGCCAAGGATCGATGTTTCAGCGTCACATCACTATTACAATACACTGCATATATACCAACCCCAGTTGATATCTTCTTAGTTATTTTTTTTTCTTAATCACTTTATGCCTTGTTATAGTCATGAAGGAACAAAAACATAAACAGCTAATTGCAAGTGTACAAGGTGTATTAAAGTAAAGCATATGGAAACTAATTCAGATATATTTTTTATTATAAAAAATTAATATGATAATTAGTAAATTAATTCTCTACATCTAAAACAGCTAGGGTTCTAGTTGAGCCAAGAGAAAACTATTAATATTTCACCGACAATCAAATAATATAAACAGCACCATCTGTACCATATACTGGGGTTTGGAAATCTGAAGGCTAGCTAGAGAGCTTATCAAGGTAGCGAGAAAGAATCCACGAAAAATTAAGGGCTTGATTTGAGAATTTGCTAGAGTGAAGAAATGGCAATACCAGAATTTTACATTTTACAGATTGAATATTCCATTTGTATTTATACATTGATTTAGTGCATTAAATTTATTGATAGGATCATAGATGATTACTATTTGTCGAAAAAATTAACATAGGTGATTTCTATTATATTGGTGATACAATCATTAATAGATTTATAAATGGAAAAAACACACCAAACAAAAAAAATTCATTGACATCATTTCATTTGTATTTCCATCTATAAAAGATCAAATATCACTAATAAAAATGACCATTTGTAATTTCATCAATAATTTATTTTCATATTACTAATAGAATTAACATGTCTAGGGTTATAATAATACTAGTGGCATTTCCAGTAATTTTATTTTTTCACCTCTCTTTAATATACCAATAGATGTATTTTGTCTATAAACCTGTCAATAAGTTGTTTAAATATTTTTAAGAAAAATCTAATAAAGAAATTAGAAAAAATAAAATAAAATAACAAATATTTTTTATAGATTTAAGAATTTATAAATTTAAATGCAATTTATCTATAATAGAGGGGTTGGAAGAGGAGGAAGAGGCGGGTCTTTGTCGGGACTAGGAAAGATAATATGGAGCACATGTACCACCCATCTATGCTTTTAGATCCATGTATAATCATTGAAGTTCGGTCATTTTAGCACTAAGTTGTTTTGAGTCATTTTGTCACAGCAACTAGATGGTTCATCCAAGTTTCAACTAGATGGTTCATCCAAGTTTCAACTTGTTGGTTTAAAATCACTTGGAACTTTGAAGATTGAGTTTCTAGGACCAATTACGAGCATCCAATTGTTGAAACACTTTGAGTCATTCACAACTCATCGAGCATAATTTTTTAGATACTATAAACCAAATTTATATTGGGTCTACTGGGCGATCCTACCTCCACCACGATTTCAGATCGAGTTTTGGATGGGTTGAAGGATCATCCCAGTATTTTTCCTGTAATTGGCTGTTATATGTTCCTTAAAAAAAAAGTCAACTAATTTAAAAAATAATAACTTAAGAATTTTTTTTGTTAAAATCCAATATACCATGAAATTCTGAGTTTAGCTATACACGAGCTATTGCAACCTTTTCCGATAGTCATCATTTCATATATGAGTTAAAATATCTTCATTAGTCTTGTTTCTTGTCCAAGAATCGTAACATGTGTCACACCAAGACATTACGACGGCCATTTAAAAATTACATCTCGATTAAAAAAGAAACAAATATATAGCATCTTGTTCTTTTAGAAAAAAAATATCTTATTCAAGGAGTCGCTACCTAATATTATGGTCACTAAGAACCTTAACTGGTCAACAAAGATTCTATAATAAGAAACTAGTTACGCAAAATGGAAGATGTTATCACCTCTTACGCATCTTACCTAAGGAAGACTACATTGTTGGTTTTATCTAAAATTGCTAAGAATTTTTTCTCCTCTTTTCCTTTTTTTATTCTTCCTTTCATGTTCCTAACTCTAGCGTCAGTGAACAATATCTACGAATATTTTCAACTCTAGCGTTGGTGAATATCGCATAAATCCAAAAAATAAGATACTCTTGACTCTAGTATCAGTGAATATTTTCACAAAAAATAAATGTGAAAAAGAAATTTTCTGTGTCATTTTTTTCTTGCTTATCCTTTATTATTATTTGCCCTTTTTAGATGGAAGTAAAAAAACATTTAGATGAAAGTAAAAAAATAGTGCACGTCATATTTGCGTTTAACAATAATAGTCCACAGATTGAGCACATCTATAAAAAATACAAACACAAAAAAAAAAATGTGAGGAGCCCATAAATAAATCAATGAAGACCCCAAATATTTTTGGAATTTTCTGTTATCAAAAAAGGGTTCATTTGGTCAAATATCAAATTAGAATGGATATAAAAATTATAGCCAAGGCATAAGGGTGTGTTTTGCCAAGCATACCCTTAGCAAATACAGTTTGGGTTGGCTAGGCCTAAAGCCTAAACCTAACCCACTCTCTTTTTTTTAGAGGTTGGATCTAGCTCAGCTATGCGTGAAAGGTTTATGTATGCATGCAACAGTCACCAGTTAATTATTTTAGTAAAAAATAAAGGAAACACTTACCTAGGCGTGCGGCTGCTGGAGGCAAAGTTGAGGGAGATTGGGCTAAAAAAAAGGGTTAAAGGGGAAGCAGCTAGTAACTAGTTAATTTTTTTTTTTATGTTTCTTTCTTTTAGAGTTTTTGGTAATGGCCTTCTCTTGGGGTCTTTTCTTTTAGGGTTTCTCTCTAATTATTCTCCCCCTGGTCTGCATACATTGAGATCAGTATTTATAGTTCAAGAGTCTTATCGCTTGTAAGAAGTAAAGTCTCAATCAAACTCATTCTTTTTTTTTAAATTTAAATTAGAATTAAATTCGAAAGCAAACAATTATCATTATCTTAAAGGTAATGATAGAATGACAAAAGTACATTCTAGTCTCTAGTTTTTGTACAAGCTGACAAATCACTTTTTTCTTTTAATTTTACATTTTAAACCCCGTAAAAATTAAATTAAAAACCAATGGGTCAAATTGGGTTATAATAGCATGTACACGAAAACTATTGTTAATTAAATATTTTCATTTAAAAAAATAATTTTAAAAAATAGACGTAATAAAAAAGAATCATATCATCCGCTTTGCATGCAAACCAAACGTAATGGATCCGCTGGTGTGCGTGATAATAGAACCATGAATCTTCTTGTTTGGTTTTCTATATCGGATTGCCACCACTACATGAAATGCTTAAAGGTCATCTATTGAATATATTATACCCATGTAGCTTTCGAGATATATAGAGGTTTGAAATCTCTTTGTATCGTGACATCTCTCCAGCTTGAAAGACCTTTTTCTTTAGTATATTTTTTTTTGTTTTTTTCTATGCCTCGTACCAAAAATTATATAGCATATATGATAGAAATGAATTATAGATTAATAAATAAAAAATAAAATTTTAACATTCAAATAAAAAATATAACATTTTTAATTCAATTTTACCTAGTTGCATTTTGATTCTTTCAAACCCTCCTAATAACAATGTTGTCAACCATATTCAGTAGAATTTTCCTTACACATTAAACTTGTAAAAACATTAGTTTATTAAAATTAATAAACTAATGGAATTAACATAATAATAATAAAATAATGTTTAATTATATATTAACCTTGAACTTTCTGAACGATACATCAATCGGGGGTTTCTGTTCATAATTTTTGAAAACCATGATCACACAAATTAAATGAGTAGCAAGTGATCTTTAGTTGTTTTTCGTAGAAAAAATGAAAGAAAAATAAGAAATTAGGGAGGGCAAGAGAGGAGTTGATTGCCAGATAATAACTTAAAAACTACAAATAAATATTAGCGACGAGTTTATTTTGTTGGTAATATCTTTTATAATAATAACACATTATTTTTTTCTGCTATAATTCCCTTGTTATATAATGACAAAAAATTTTCATTGGTATATACCAAGGGAGGTAACGAGAAACTATTTCATTGATAAATTTTATTGTAATTTATCGATATAATTTTTTTTATTAGTATTTCTATTTATATTTATTAATTTTTTGATAGTGTTATTACTTGACACCCAGTACAATAGTTAAGCAATAAGGAGACCTCTAAAGTGTAAAGATATCCTTGATTTGATTCATACCTCTTGCATTTATAACTTACACACAAATTTAAGCGTGATGGTTGATCTATGTTGATAGGTTCTTTCTTGTAATTTGATCTTAAAAATAATTGTTTATTGATAGAAAGTGTTTAAGAGTGTAATTGTGATTTAAAAAATAAAATTACTTGAGGATGAGTTATTATTTAATGCTTTCACAATTTTGATTCTTTCAACTTATGGTTTCATAATACCATTTATTATAATTCGTACTAGATTTTGGAATAGCTATCAATGAAATATTCCCATAGAAATTATATAATCTTTTAACATATATACCATCAAATCAAACAATGATAATTGACCAATCACAAAGTAAACTCTTACGATCTAGACTCGTG